CACACACACACACACACACACACACACACACACACACACACATAGGCACACACTCACAAACAGAGCCCTTCTGCAGTCCCCAGACCCGGACAGCCCCCCAGAACGCAGCGGTGGGACCTGGAAAGGCTAAGGAAGCAGGAAGCTCGGCCAACACGTCAGCCCAGCTGGACTCAGTCTGCAGCAGGGCCCAGCTCCACAGCCCACAACTCACAGAGGTCCTGCCCCTGTCCGAACTGTTCTGGAAACGTGACAGAGCTGAGGGGGATGAGGGCCATAAAAGCAGAAAAACAGAGTCACGGGGACATAGCAAAGCTGAGGAGAGGCGCAGAGGCCACCACCTCGTAGATGGACTCTGGGAAACACCGTCTATGCCCCTGCCTCCAGCTGAAGGGTACAAGACCTACGGTCAGGAGCGGGGTGGGAGGAGATACCACAGCACTCCCTAGTCCTCCAAGCCCTAGAACAACAGTAGCCTAGCCAGGCCTGGGGACATACAAGATGGCCTTTTATGGGTTTTCCCCAGGACCTCGAATCTCCAGACACACAGAGCAGGCCCTGCAGCACGTCAGGAGAGACCTCATGACTCATTTCCTCCCACCAGCCCCAGCCCAAAGCCCTCAACCCTCTCCACCCCACAAACCCAGCTCCCGACATGCAGGAGAGCCTGGAAGGGGAAAGAAAGGGCTGTCACTCACCACCAGTTCATGGCTGGATGGAGGAACACAAGGAGCAGCCACCTGCGAGAGAGGTAAAGAAAGTCCCGGTTAGCATCCGTCCCAGCAGCCCCTGGGCCTCCTGAGCTCACTCTTACCCCATCCCCAAGGGGACAGCCTTCCCTGGAGCACAGGGAGAGCTCCTCAGAAGGCCACCCACAAGGGCTATAGGCCAGGCCAAACACATAAAATACCCCTCACAGGTCAAATTCTGTAAAACGTTAACACACCCACCTAGACGTCAGCATAGCAGCTATATCCTGGATCCTGCGGTAACCACAAAGCTTCCTTTTCCTCTCTCTCTCCCTCCCTCCCTCCCTCCCTCCCTCTCTCTCTCTCCTGATTCCTCTACAGTGTAGAAAGATGAATTTAAAGTAGTTCAAAAACATGATTTAGACCTGTAAGAAAGTAACCCCCCCCCACATCCCCCCATCTTCTCCCCATAGCCAGTGGCTCACCCCCAAGTCAGAGCTGGGGGCGACCAGATCTTCCAGGGATCGCACAGAGCACTCTGGAGGGGAGGCAGCACCCACCAGGAAAGGGACTGTCATTATCACTTCATCCTCATCTTCCCCTGAGCCAAGGTCATGGCAACTCGGGCCTCTAGGAGGGAGGGAGGAAGGAGGCCCTCAATGGCCTCGCCACCCTGACAATTAGCAGAGCGCGTGTCAGAGGCCAGCGCATTCCTTTCTCCAGCCAACACATTTTTCTTGGATCTCAGGACTCAACCTTGGCTCTGACTCCTCGCCCCAGCACCAGGCCAGAGGCCCACAGAGAGGCAGAGAGGGTGGCTGAAGAGAGGCTGCTTCCTCTCTGGACGGTAGGCAACACCATCTCACAGGCAACAGCAGCACTTTGCAGAGCTGGTACGATCTAGCGGGCATGCTGCTAAATAAAGTGCTTTGCCTTTCAACAGCCAGAAAGACAGGCTCCACCATCACCTCCCCAGGAGGTGAGGAGGTCCAGACAGGGTAAGCCGTTTACCCAAGGTTACACAGTAGACGTGAGCCTGGGAATTGAACCCAGGCAATCTGGGTCCCAAGATTTGGAGTGAAGACGTCGGATGACTCGTGGCTTTCCCTGTCGGAGAATAAGGGGTGCAGAAAGAGCCCCAAACCCAGCTCCTGATTCACATGAGCATAGAACTAGGAGTGAATGCATTCGAAAAGGTGTCTGGGGGGACCAGGCCCAGAGTGGGCGCTAAGACAGGGAGGAGAGAGCTCTCCAGAGCTGCCTACGGACATTCTGAACAATAGCCACGGCTCAGCCACAGGTTACACTGTCTGTCCTTTACAGCCGTAAGCCAACCCAACCATGGGGGTTGTGAAGATTCAAAACACAGACCAGGCTCTGAGAGGGCCCCCCCTCCCAACCCATCAGATCGCCACGGTGTCTGCATGAGATTTCTGGGCCACGTCCTGGCCAGGCTCCCATCTTGAGCACTGCAGACAGATAGTCGTGACCTATGGAGAGGGCTATAGTGCAGGAGGTCAGAGTTGCCTCAACTTTCGGAGCCCAAACTGGTCTCCATTGCTTCAGGGTGGGCGGTGGCTTTGAGACACACAGAAGTTCTCGCCCACAGGCCCATCCTAACCATGGACCCTTTCCTCACCCTTCACCCTCAACTCCCCAGACAGATGTACCCACTAGAACCATTACCTATGGGGGTACGGTCATACCCCTACAGGCCGTATCCCAGGGGCCTTTCCACCCCAGGCCCATACTGGGCCATGGCTACTGGCCCACGGACTTATGTGTCTCAGAGCTTCTGGTCTCATTCTTACTCTTTTTTTTTTTTTTTTTTTTCTCCTGAGGCACAGAACTGTTTCCTTAAAAGGCCGACTGTCTCCTTCTCTCCAGCACCCTGGCCCCCAGCCACCCTCTCAGGAGCCCAGAATGTGCCAGGAGTACCAGGGGCCCTGCCACTCTACGGTCTGTGCTCAACGGCCCCACACTCCTGGCATCAGCAGTGGCTGACCCCAGGGACTACAGGGGACTCAGGTAGCCCTGGGCCGTCTTCAAGAACTCTGATGACAGCCCTGCTGTGACCTCACCTCCAAGCCAGGCACCCAGGACGCCAGGGCTGAGTCGCAGGTGGGGAGCCTCAGGTGACTTGCCCCCCTTGGCCCAGTCCCTCTGGACTTGGGGCAGAATCAGCCTACGGCTCCATGTCCCCAACTAAAGAACAAAGGGCAAGGAGGTCACAGCAGCAGCAGCCGCCACCACCACCACATTGATTTTCCAGCAGCCACAGCCCTGAGCGCTGTGACAGTTCATCCAGGGCTTAGGAAGGCCTGGGCCCACTAAATACTGTCCCTGCTTAGCAGGCGGGAGACTGAGCCACAGCCGGGCCGAGGCAAGATCCTGCACAGCTCTCCTAACTACGCTGCTCTACACAGAGCAAGGACCACTCATGACACCTGCGAGTACCTCCTTTCCTTACCTCACGACCTCGCAAGGAAGAGGACCTGAGTCCCAGCTGGGTAGCAGCACCCCGGTTCCCAAAACCCTCAATAAAAACCTCAGTTCTCAGAACTTGCTTACCTAAAACTCATGATTCCTAAACTGGCCAGGTCCTGCAGGAGAGTCCCCATACTTGTATGCCCTGACCCAAGAAGCTGTACAGGAAACCTCATACTTCCAGCTATAACCTCCTCAGTCGGGAGGTCCGGCACTCACAGCATTCTGGGTAGAAACACTATCTTGGCTTTCCTTCCTAACACTTGCTGGGTCTGTGTCTTTTCTTGTTTTATTTGGTGGTGGTAGTGGCGGCTTTTTTTTCTTTTTTTACTATATAGCTAACACAAACCCAGTCCCCTCTTCCCCTTCCCATCCCATAAAATCTCAACCTCTGTGAATATACCTACCCCCAGAGACCTCTGTGATCTGATGATAGACACTTGAGGGGCTTTGACCACCATTCCATTTCTAAACTCCCTTTCCAGGACAGATCCCAGGAATCAAGACCGCTACACCCCAAGACAGGCCACAGAAGCTCTCATCTTCCAGGACCCTCTGTCCTGGACCTGGCCACAGAACTTCTGACCTTTCTCTTGTCCCTCAGCAGGACACAGGACCCTCATCATGACAATGCGAGGGATGATGCCCAGAGAGACCAGGAAGAATCTGAACAAAAGGCCTTCCTGGGTTTACCACCAGACTGTGAGCAATCAGAACCATGCCACGAGATCTCACATAAACCCCAAAGGACGGGCTTTGGAGAACTTACACATAGCTCCTGGAGAGAAGTGTGCCCCTCACTCCCCCACTGCTTACCCTGAACACCTTATCATCTGTACCCTCAAACACCACAAGCCATGCCTCCCAAGTCTACGGGGCCACTAGAGCCAACTGATGGTACCCAAAGCAAGGTCATAGGAATCTCAATTAACACAATTGGTCAGAAACATAAAGACACCCTGGAGTTTGAAACTGGCACCTATAAGGCAGAAGGCAACCCTGGGACCCAGGACCCAGCCTATGGGCATGCCACTGTGTCTGGTGTGATATTGAGCTAAGCTGGGTTGGAGGCCACCTACAGATGTCACCACGGCAGAACTGTTTGCTGACGATGAGGAGACCCACATATACATCCTGTGAAGCCACAGAAAGTCTTCTACTGGGATATTTGCACTTTGCTAACAGACATACTCATAAAAGACCAATCACATGCTTGTCGATCTGTGTCTGGCTGACTCCCCTTCATGTATTAGCTGAATAACATCCCCCCAAATTGGCATGTGAAAATCCAAACCAGTCCCGTGGAATGTGCCCAGTGACAGACTCTTTAAAGAGGTGACGAAGTGAGTCCACCAAGGTGAGTCCTGATTCAGGACAACCTATTGTCCCAACAGGAAGAGATCAGGACACAGAAGACCAAAGAGGGAGAAGCCCAGGAAGACGCAAGGTGAAGGCAGTGTCCATGTACCGAGAAGTCAGGCCACAGGAGACAGTGTTGTACTGATCCTGATTGAAGAACCCAGGGTGGCAGCCACGAGAGCCAATTTCATGACCCTGAATCCACATTCCTAAGATCCACCGAGGTTCAAGGTAAAAATTGTCCCAATGTGTGCACCTACCACCATGAGTGGATCCACGTGTGATGGACACGTGGCTCACTTCAGGAAGTATTAATAGTGACTCACATCTCTGTCCAGCATGTCCAGGTATCCACACTAATGACACCAAATGGTGTGTGGCACAGAGGGACAATGGGGTTTATAAAGCATCTACTGTGTGTCACTGAGTTGGGCATTTTACAGGCATTCACATTTTCACTTTCAGTAAAAAAAAAAAAAAAAAAAGGCTCCCAGAAGTCAAACATCTGGCAGCAGTAGCAGGAATGGCCAGGAAGGCTGCTAAGGTTCCTTCATCTCAAGCTACAGTCGAACATATGTGGTCCCTCTTCCCCCCAGTCCCAACCCCAGCAAGGTGGGCATCAGTACGCCAGCTCCCAGGGTCTCAGGCCACCTCCCAACAAACCTGCAGGCTCTCGGAGAAACTGTCCCCTGCTTCCGCCTGCCTCAAACGCCTGCCTTCCCTACCTGTTCTCTGCCCCATGGCTGGATAAGGCAAGGGTGCTGGACCGGCAGGTCACAGAGTGTGGGCATCCCGAGGAGGGACAGTGAGCCGGGCACAGAGGAGGTGTCACTTCTGTCCCTCTGTTGTGTGTCACACTCCCACGTGGATCCCTTGCTCCACTCCACTCCTCACCCCCGACTCCCACAAAAGGGAAGCAAACGGGCCATGTGTGCGGCTTGGCCTGATGCTCACTTCCGAGGTGAAGTCTGTTTTGACAGGGAAGATACTATTTTTGGTGACACCAATCCATGTGAGAGATGTGGAAGTGGTAATGCTTGGCATGTCAAAAGAGCTGCCGGGACTCCCCTTGGGCTGGGTGAAGGGAAGACACACCCAAGGGACCACTGAGGTGGGTATAAAAGGGGAGGAGCCAAGCACCACTCTCCTCATGCTTGACCATGGAAAACTACGAACGGCCAAGGAAAGAGATCAGACTTCTCGCT